TTCCTACTTCTCTCCAAACAGTGCCTTGCTATGTGATCATCCTTTCCACATGCATGACAGACAAAGCTTTGATGAGGTCTCTCATTGTCTTGACAATGTCTAGCAATGTGACCAGCTTTTCCACATACATAACTAATGGATGTCTAGATTCTGCAGCTTTCATTTGAATATTTGTATTGAAATAGTGTCATTTTGGAAATGATTTGTTCGTATGGCGTATTTACATCTGTCTGCAGAGCAATGGCTTCCCACATGTGCAGTTAATGCAGACTTAAACATGAGGTTTTGTTTAGATGTATTTTACACACCACTGTAACAGCTAAACCTTTCCCACAACCTGGATGCATATGGCATAGGATTCTCTTCAGTTTCCATTGTCACCTCAGTTATCTTTCTCAAGTTAACCAAATCAGTCCCAACAACTCTAAGTAGAGCTTCTCTCTTTGCGCCTGTGTCTGCTCTTTGTTGCTAACCTCCTGTGAGAGAGCACTAGTTAATGAGCGAGAAAGATAATAAGTCTACAAGCTTCTGTGTCTGACACACTATAAATGTTTACTACCTTCTCCAGTTTTGACAAGAACTCTAAAGGATCCATGTTATCAGAGTCAAAAGTACCCACTGCTGTAAAAAGACTTTGAATGTCCATAAAAGATGGCTGTCTTATAACAGCTTGGCCATTTTCAGTTCTTTGACAAGGAAACCTCTCTTTTCCATTACCAGTCTGCCTTGTTTGCACTGGTTCTATTGGGAACCTCACAGAATCATCTAAAGGCTTCTTTGCAGTTATTCTCATCATATTCAGAATTGGATTGGGCATGTGTACCAACTGTCTAGTTGTCACTTCAAACAAACCTCTAAATGACTCCCTCTCTGATTCGGCCATTTAAATTTCTTGTCTCAGTTTTACTGTCTGTTCCTTCAAAAGACATGACATTGTCACTGACTTGAGTTTAACAACTTGTTTTCTGTTCTCTAATATTTTCTTAGTTACCTTGTATGAGACGAAAAAGCTTGAAGTGCAATCAAATATTCATGTTGCGATTAATTGCTAATGCTTTTATTTAAATGTCATTTAAATAAACAAATATTCGGTTTTTTATGAGCCCAAATATTCGAATACAATATTTTTTGTATAATGCCCATCCCTTGCTTGTTGTTCTGTACCACCACTACCTCCTCTTGCTTATCCTGTAGTCTTCGGATTCTATTTATCTGGGTCCGTATTTATCAAGACCCTGTGAATTACTCGCAAGAACACTGCTAAGAATTTAATTGATGATTCACGACACTTTTCTGTGCCACAAATGGGATTTTACATGATGACATAGGCATGGACCAATCACTGAATAGATTTCCTTATTTAAGAATATTCTCAGATAAATTCACATTGAATGGTGAAATTCCTAAGAGGAGTTTACATTCAACATACATTTGACAATAAAGGATTTTCAAGAGAATACATTGATATACACATTGAAAATGAAAGATAAACACGTTTTCCACCATGTCTTAATTACAAATTTTAAACCGGTTTGCTGTTAGTGTTGGGGCGATATGCTCAATTGTTATATAGTCCTAGCGTCAGCCTGTGAGGTCACGATACACAATATTATCGTGATGATTTATTTAATTATTTATTAACTTGGTTTCATTGCCGAAAAGTGAACCAACTCCTGCATAACACCGCAAGTGTGAGCTTTGCGTCAGCTTCACGTTAGCGTTACTACAGCGTCACTACAGCTGCAGACTTGTGAGAGGATTCACATTGGAAGCGTTTGTACGTCACATCAGCGGCTCCAAAGCTGCATATTTCTTTACAAAGTTGAACAGTTATAAACCTGAAAGTTTTAAAGTCTTAAGTTTGTTAACATGGGGATTCACATGTTAACACGGGGATATGCACGTTAAAGGTGAACAACAACAGCTCCGATCATGTCGTTTCAGTCATATTTTGATATACAGTAGAATGTGCTATTTATAATGTCATTTTTATAATACACCATTCTTTCACCCAAACTGAATAATTAAAAACAAGCAAAAATAGACTCAGCGCCGAAACCATTGCTTCAGCGCTGCTCACGCGACGCTCCTGCTTGATGCTCACACGCTGATCCTGTTCCCATTGTGAATGCACTCATTTGTTAACATGAATGCCGAAAAAAGTATGTGCTGCTCACGCTTGCTGTGTGAAACCAGTCTTAGGAAAAAGCAGTCTAATGTTTTTAATATGACTGAATTTGTATTTAACATGATAACAATTTAATAGAAACATTGTGAGTTACTACTTCCTCAGTTATTTAAAAAGCAAATAACATTTGCTTTTTGAAAATGAGCAAAGAACATTTACATTACCGAAGAACATCATAACTGACTTCAGTCTAGCATGAGTATTATACACTTTAAAAAAAAACTCCTGTTATAATCAGTGAAGCTGTATGATGTATACACTGACTGCACACATCTGCGGTGCGTTACAGCTCCGACACGGCCACCGGAGCTGATCGCAGCCACTCCTAGTCAATGCTTGCGTTTATACCAGCCGCGCCGCGGTACGTTTCTGAAGCGTCTCCGAGCTGCACTGTATTTTTAATGAACAATAAATAATCATAATAATCGTCTTGCTATCGTCAAAGACATCAGCAACAGGCAATATCTCTGACATGATACTATCGTCTATCTGCACAAACATAAAATGACCTGCCTATATATAGCCTAGATTTTATGATATAATCAGCCACCATGGATTCTAAAAGAAAATCGAACTGGCGGGAGGAAGAAGTGCTACTGCTTGCTGAATTAGTCAAACAGCGGAAACATGTTATAAAAGGCCAGTTCAGCCCAACATTAGCCAGCGCTGACAAGAAAAAGTCAATTTGCAAAAAGGCCTATTGTAAGAGTGATTCTTAGCTTTAAGAAATTTGATAAGTTGATTTTATACTTAAGTTTGAAAGAAGGAGTAAATTTCATGAATTCTCAGCACTTAAGACTAAAATGGCACTTTGAGAAGCTTGATAAATACGGGCTCTGGTCCTTTGGTGGAGTTAATTCCCACTACAATATGACACTGATCAACTGAGTCATCTTATTTTTCTATTAATTTACATTGGCCTTATTCTCTCTGAAGGGAGACACAAAATGTATTATTACATTTGTACTAGATATCATATCACAACTTAAGATACAATGATGTCTAGCATCAATGATACTAGACTTATGTCTGTTGCCTGGTCATATTACGTATAAAATATAAAATTGCATGTCTCATACTTTCAAAGATTTGTTTTTTCCCCCTTACCAAGGCCAAAGTGCATGCTTAAACTCCAATAGATTAAAATGTGTATAGACCTCTGAAGAGATACATTCCAGCTACCGCTCGAGAAGAAATGTATGTGCAGGGTTAAGGTTAGGAGAAGTGTATATTTATTAGCTGTGCTTCAACACACCTAAACTGACATTCACTGGATCTGAAGATGAACTTGCCATAAGAGATTGGGTTCACTGAGCACTGGTTGGGGAAAAGGTTTCTGCAGCACATCAGGTCTCGCAACACATGTGTCTACTCCTTGTTGCTATGGCAACACAATTACGGTCTGTAGATTGAGATTCCAGAGTCATTTAAAATGTGTTCCCTGAGTAACAATACAACAACAATGTTTATTTATAGAGCACATTTAAACACAACCGAAGTTGACCAAAGTGCTTTACAAATAATAAAACACAAATAAAATAAAAGAGTAACAAGGAAATCAACAAACTAATAAGATCAGCAGAGTACAGTAAAAAAAAAACAGGAAACATACTAAGGAGTGTTATAAGCCAGGGTGAAAAAATATGTTTTTAGATAGGATTTAAAAATACTAATAGATGGGGCACTATTAGTAAAAATACGAATAGATGGAGTACTAGGAGATATTTTAGGTGCTACTTATAAGTGTGTCTAAAAAGGATGCTTATTGATCGTATATAGAAACATTATGGGCCTTTTTGATACTATGAGATCAGGTTCAATACTTCAGTACTTAACTCAGGTCTGTTTTCTCAGAAAATGCAATATGCCATGTTTAAGTGTAAATTTACCTCCAAAAGCAATCTATATGGTAATGTATTGTTGACTTTTAGAGCATTGGTAGCTGGTAGTGGCTATTATTCCATGTTGGACCATAGATGAACAGATCATACTTCAATACTTTGATTATGTCTTGCTTACTGTAAAACACAGGCCAGCATTGCAGTTCCTCTACAGGAAATCAAAGCCAATACTTATTTTCTCACTTTGTGGCATGACAGGTTCTTTGGCAAGCGCCTTCATTGCATCAGATGCTTGAAACGGCTGCTTTCAGTTGAGTCATAAAGCTATAAATTCACAAAACAAAAATCAGCTACCAATCTCAGAAAGGACAGTGAAAAAGTTGACAAACGAAAGCTATTCATTGATAACAGTAAATTTAGAAGGTGTTTTAATAAAGTCACATATTGTTTGATGTCAGGAGTGTTGAATTTGAGTGATTTTGTTTTAGAGAAATAACTGTTTCCATATCAATATATGACGGCTATAACAGATTGCAACTAAAAAATAAGTTCAGGAAATTAGAAATTCTCTCTCTCTCTCCCTTTTTTGTGAAAAAAAAAACTATTTAAAAGTTTTTTTGCCAGTTTATATGACTGATTATATTCTAGTTTCATGTCTCTGTCATGGTCTTTTCCTTCTCAAATAATTTAAATTCAAATCATTATTTATTTATTTATTTTTATTTGTATTTTCATTAAAGTAGCCATGCCATAAATGGGATAATGTACAGTCAGCCTGTCAGGGTTTATTTTGTAGTAATGGCTGCCTGACTGTACATTATTCTTCAAACCCTGAAACAGGTTAGGGATTGTGTGGTAATAAAAACAATGAAAATTAATTAAACTTTGAATAATTTGATAAATAGTAAGCCACTTCTGCTCCTCCTCCTCTTCTAATATCCCTCACCCCATCTCCTTGCTTTTTTTTTTAGGCAGTTTGTTGATTAGTGAAGTAGTCAACCTCCTGGACCAGTCTTCTCTGCAAGCACTAAAGAAAGAGTGTGGCGGTCTCCAGACTCTACTGAAAAACAACTACCAGGTGTTCAGAGGTATTTAGCCCTGTTCTAGCACTCTGTATGCCAGCTACACTGCAAAATTGATTTTCTTAATCAGTATTTTTTCCTCATTGGCAGATTTATTTATTTTTTTTAGCAAAAAAAATAATATTTAGTTTTATTTTTTTAGAAAATAATACTTAATATCTTAAGTCATTTTCACGTTTCGATTCAAGAATGTTTAGATGTTGCCAGCACCAGTAGTCTTGTGGGCGTCCCGAATTCATGTCCTGGCTCATGGACCTTTTCTGATCTCGCCCCCCCCTCACACTTCCTTTCAACTTACTGTTCTATCAAAATAAAGGCATAGAACGCCAAAAATAAATCTTAAAAAATTAAAATAAATGGCCAACATTAAGTTACCCTTTAGGAACTCACACTGCATCGGAAACACTTTGGAAATGCCTCTGCGTGGCCGCGTCCTGAAGCATGTGTGAAATCACCTCCTGCATTTTAAATCACCTCCTCCACACCTCCTTCCTTTCTTCCCTGATCTCCATGCTGAGGTTGTAAGATTATGGGAAAGGCCATATTCTGCTCATCTTTTCTGCCCCAATGTGTCTAACTATTAGGGATGTAACAATATCAAAATCTCACGATATGATAATATTGCGATATAAGGGTCCACAATATGATATTTATTGCAATATAAAAAAATTAAAAAAAGATTTTTTCCAAAGAATTGGAAAAAATTTACATTTTGTACATTTTAAAGTTAAAGTATTCTAATGAACTTTGAGAGTTCAAAATTAAGAGCTCCAACCCATGTTCTTAACTAAGAAAACTCAAGTCAGAAAAAAGTCAGTGAATGGACTTGTACCTGAATTTAAAGGGGACTCAGCCCTCTTTTTATTTGTGGTATGCTATCTCAGTCTAAATTACATTCACACTGGTGTTTTAGGAAGCCAAACAAATTAGAATATAATAATAATAATAATAATAACAACAACAATGACAGTAATAGCTATATATTGTAAAATAATTGCACTGTAAAATAAATGAAAATGAATATTTCATAGGTATATTATTTTTGCTTTACACTACAGTAAGGAAATGAAAGTACTTCTTTCCTAATTTCTACACTTGAAAGAGATATTTTGAATTTGGACTGCATTTATACCGCTAGCTGTCAGCAATTCATGCTGCACTCTTAAGCTTTTATTTTGATGGAAATGGCAGTAGAGCTTTTATTTTAAAGGCAATCTCCAGCTTCAGTGAAAACATGCTTACAAAAACGCGTCTCACTACAAATCTAGTGAAATGCTGTCATTTGCCGTGAAAATAAAGCATAACTGGTGGCTGTTGCATTCCCAAACGCGCGCTAAACTTACGGCACATGCAATAAACGAGTTCACTGCATTCATTCACTGTAAACTGAGCCATTCTGAGATGCGGAAAACACCAGATCACGAGCTGATCGCCTCAACAATGTGTGCGCTTCGCTTTTAAACGCAGCAAAAACAGACTTGATGAAGGGATTTATGTTAGAATAAGAAGTTTAAATATATTTAAACAAACTACACATTTTGCTCAGACGACTTATCGTTTCATATTGTCATTTGACCACGATAATATCGAGACAGTTTTGCTATCGTGATATCACGGTATTTATAATATCGTTACATCCTTACTAACTATTCCAACATGTTGGGGCTGAAGCAGCAGGGCTATAGGGTGATGCCCAGGGTTGAACGGACACTTGCCAGCTATCTGTCCCTTGAGTCAGCATTGTCCCTGAAGGCTCCGGCACTACCCACCAAGCTGCTCAGAACAACCTCGGCTTTGGTGGTTGAGGCTTTTTACAGCGACAGGCCAGGCTGGCGCATGCCTGCACACCACAGTGATGTTGCAGGCATACCAGGCTGACCTGCTTAGGGACCTGGATGAAGCTGAACGAATTGGCTCTGATGACATCAGGGAGCTGCGGAGGGCCGCAGATTTGTCTCTCCGGGCCACTAAGGAAACAGCCATAGCTATTGGTCGTTCCATGGCAGCCTTGGTGGCCATGAAGAGGCATCTCTGGTTGAACCTGTCAGACATGAAAGATAAAGACTGGTTCTTCCTTTTAGACGTCCCACTTGTTCCTTCGGGCCTCTTCGGTGATGCAGCGAGCTTTGTCGTCAAGAGGTTCCAGGAGGGTAAAAGCAGGCAGTGGCATTGCAGCGGTTCCTCCCCCGCCGACTCCAGGTCTCAGGGGCTGCTGGACAAGAGCAGCTGTCCTCTAGCTCCTCATATAGGGTGTAACATAAGAAGAGCGTCGCTTCCCGACCACCCCCTCAGAACCATCAGGGGTCGGGCGGCTCTCTCAGCCAAAGCTGAAGATTGTCAACTGGACCCAGTTAACTGCCAAGTTGGTTCAGTGCTGGAGTTCCAGCAAGAACGCTTCCCCACAGGGTTATCTCCCTCCACTCTTAAGGTATACGTGGCAGCTATATCTGCTTACCACGGCCTTTTGGAACCTGTTGGTAACACATTTCTTTCTTGGTGCTTTGAGGCTGAGGCCTGCAATATGCACTAGAGTCCAGGCTTGTGATCTGGCCATGGTCTAGACGAGCTAAGTAAGGCCCCTTTTGAACCTTTAGAGGATGTTCCGGAAAAGTTCTTGACACTAAATACAGTGTTTCTATTAGCCATCTCATCTCTCAAGAGAGTTTGTGACCTTCAGGCCCTTTCCGTGGCCCCATCATGTCTTGACTTTGTACTTAGAATGGTGAAAGACTTATTGCACCCAAGGTTGGGCTATCTGCCGAAGGTGCCCACTCTTGTTCCACAACCCAATAGTGCTGCAGTCATTTTGTCCTCCTCCCTTCCGGGAGCCAGACCAGGAGAAGTTTATTTTGGTGTGTCCAGTTTGAGCACTGGACACCTGCGTTCACAGAGCTGCCTTGTGGAGGGAAAACTGATCAACTTTTCGTCTGCTTTGGTCCACCCAAGAGAGGTCTCCCGGCGACTAAACAGGTGGACATTAACCCTTTAGAACCTAAAGCTAAAATAGGCCGTTTTCACTCATTTTGTTTTTTTTTCCCTGAGTATAAAATTATAACACAATGTGGTATCTTCAAGTGCAAGGTGTTTTTTTTTTCCAGAAAAGTATTGGCTTTCAGGAAATTACAGTTATTGTAGATTATTGTGTGTAGTGAGTTAGTAAATTTAAATAGACAAAAAAATTTAAAACGGGAAGAAATTTTACTGCTTTTTATTTAGAAAAATTCAGTGAACTGAATTTAGAAATTCAAACTCATGAACGAAAGAATCTAATGCCTCAATCTTGAAAAAGGAACTATAATACATATATACAAGTCTTTTTGGGACACTGGATTATCGTATGCAACGACGCCGACCCATGCTGGCCCTCTGTGAAAGGTCTTGAGTGTCACTCACAGGAACAGGCAGATGATCGCATCTCTCACTCGGGCTGCCATCCAGTGGAACACCTGTGAGCTGCGCAGCTAGCAGCTCCTGAAAGTTTTGCCGTGTCATGTGCTTGTCATGGTGGATGGCACACAGCTCTTTGTGTAAAATGAAGCTGTTGGTCACTGCAATGTCCAGGAAGTGCTGGAAAATTGTCATGTACCACTTCCGTGTTTTATGGTGCACCGAATTTGTTCCGAGCATCTGGTCAGAGGTGTCACTTATTGTACTGCTGAACTGATGTTGGCCTGGGAACAGGGACCTTCTCTTTTCACCCATCCTCTGTCGTCTGCCACCTAGCACGGTCTCCCCGCTGTACACTGTGTGGAGAGTTGTGCACATGGAGACCTCCCTTGTGTCCATCCACTTCACAAACAAAAGGACATCATCTCTGATCCAGCGAATGCTCCATCATTGGTGAACTTTTGTTCAGGGCATTTTGTTTGGTTGAGGGAACACCAACTCTTCCTGCTCGATAAGTTCCACATGCACCGGAATCCCAGCTGGTGCAGATGTCGAAAGAGGAGAGGGCTTGTGAAGAAATTGTCACAGTAAATCACATCAAACACATCAAAAGACAGGCCTTTCCCAGATGCAAATTTTGACTTCCCAGTGTAGATTTTGAAGTCAATGGTGTAGCCATTGACATCAGCTAACACAAAAAGTTTATGCCCCACTTAGTAGGCTTGGCCTTCATATATTGCTTGTAGGATATCCTGGCTTTGGTGGCAATCATCCTCTCATCAACAGAAATGTGCTGTCTAGGGTGGTAAATAGGCATGCACCTGTTCCTCATAATGTCCAAGAGTGGTTGCACTCTGTGGAGACAGTCGTATTCCTCTGTGCCCCTTTTCTTGTCATTCTCTGCATCTTCCATTGGATCATTGATGTGCAGATTGCAGGAGATTGCTAAGAAACGATCCCTGGACATCACAGTAGCAGGAAAGGGAACATGAAACAAAGTCTTCTTCCTCCAGAAGTCCCTCACTTTTGGTAGATCCATCACACCCATGTAGAGAAGCAGACCTATGTACTTCTTCATTTCTTCAGGGTATACATCAGCCCAGTGACCAACAGCTTCATTTTACACAAAGACATGCATGTACACATGCACACACACATACATGCACGTACACACATACACAAATATACAGATATACACATATGCATGCACACACACACACGCATGCACGTACACACACATTCGCATACACACACGCACACATACACATACACACTCACCTATACACATACATACTGTATATACACATGCACACATTCACACACACAAACATACAGATATACACATGCACACATTCACACACACAAACATACAGATAAACATATGCACACACGCATGGACGTACACACACATACATATACACACACACTTATACACACACATAGATATGTACATGCACATACATACACACAAACATGAATGCATACGCACTTACACGCGTGTGCATATAAATGCACATATACCACATAAGTGTGTGAAACAGTGGTATTTCGAAGTGAAACACGGCGTCTATGACTATTTTAATCACATTTCTCATAGATTCATCAGAAAGAAACATAAGCTTCACTTACCAATCCACATCTGGATCAATGCTAGCAGCATACGCTGCCTCAGCATCTGAATACATCGGGTCATGCTCAGCCTCTTCCCAGGTGTCATCAAAGATCAAATCAATCGCCTCCTCTCTTGTAAAACCTTTCTTCGCCATGTTTTTGTCTGTTTTTTAATTATATTTTGCACTTTCAAACTCTCTAACCTGCTGCGCTCCGTATCTCCCGCTTCAAATCCGTCCATCCCACTCTCCCCGAAAGCCGCTGTGATTTGCTGATGGAAAGCATGCAATTTTTTTTCATAGTGCAAACGGTTGGTGAGTTATGATAATATGATGATAACATGAATACAGAATGGTTAATTGTGTCGGCACCGACACATCCAGTTTTAATGGGTTAAGCATGTGGATAGTTGAGGCTATCTCCCTAGCTTACGAGTCCTCTGATGTCCCCTCACCTCTGGGGTTCAGGGCCCACGCAACTCAAGGTATGGCAGCCTCTAAAGGCCTTCTTATCTGGTGTTTCTATACACAATGTTTGTGAGGTTGCGGGTTCTACAATGTTTCTACCCTGCTCACCTTCGTCAGGTTTTATAACCTAGATGTTGGGACCACTCCAGGTTCTAGAGTGCTTCTGTCTTGAGGTGTGTGCTTTGACTTCACACTAAACAGGCATTCGTCAGTATGGCGGAGTTGGTATTCTTGTTTCCAAAGCGTTTTCAACGCAGCACGGATTCCTGATGGGGAACAACTCTAGGTTACGCATGTAACCATAGTTCCCAAAAGGGAATGAAACTCTGCGTCACACTGCCATACCTCCTGCATCCCTGTGAGCACTTGTGTCTTCCTATCAGAAGCTAACGCTGTTTACACTGAGTGCCCTTTTAAGCTTCCTGGTCGCTACATCACCCCGCCTGTGACATCTCGCTACTCTATTGGACTGATTTCACGTGTGCTTCAGGACGCGGTCATGCAGAGGCAGAGGAAGTCTCGGATCCCTTTTTGGAACCATGGTTACATGCGTAACCTAGAGACACTTTTCATCACTTTGAGCTACAGTAGCTCTATTGTCTGACTAATCTCTGCATAACAGGAACAACCCTCAAGAGATGCCGTTTTAGAGATGCTCTGATCCAGTCACCTATCCATCTGTATTAACCCTTGTCAAAGTCATTCATATCCTTTCACTTGCCCTTTATTCCTGCTTCTAATACATAAAATTCAAAAACTGACTGTTCACATCCTGCCTAATATATCCCACTCCTTGAAAGGTGCCACTGTAATCATATAAATCAGTATTATTCACTTCACCTGTCAGTGCTTTTAATGTTGTGGCTGATTAGTGTACATTACTGACACTGTAAACATGTTAGTGTGTGATATTAAAGAAGATGAATAGGAATCCATATTGAAGTGTGAATGTGCTTGGACAGGGTAAAAATAAGCTCCTTATCTCCTAAGAAAATACCACTCTGGTGAACATTGTAGACAAGCTAAATCCCCACAAAATATTACCTCTTTAAAGGAATACTCTTAAGTTCCTGATATGATTCTCATTTCTTAAGGCTTGCAGGTAAATTGTTCTCTGCTTCTGTTTCTTTTTCATAGTGGAGGGTGGAAGTGTCTTTATTCGTGACTGGAGGGTGCATACAGCACAAAGCTCTCGAGTGAGATCCAAGCGCAAACCCCCTCCCACAGGTGCCCTGAAGACCCGGCTTTGCTGGTTCCACATACACCATCCCCACGGATGCCCTCTGCCCCGAGAGCACTGTGCTTTTGCTCATGGAGAGACTGACTTCAAAAACCCCTGAACATGATTCAGACATGAACAGTAGCTTGTTTTGGAAAAAGAACATTTAGAAAAAGAAAAACATATTTTAGTTGAATTTTTAATTATCCCAGGTGCACTGTTTTTCTTAGAAATAAATTCAGTTACTTTCATAAATAAAAAATAAACCTAATGTCTGTTGTATAAGAAACATGAAAAAATTAATTATGTCCAACTGTGTACAGAGTTTATTGTACAAAAAATTTTAAACTTGTGTAATGGGATGCATCAACTTTTGGCAGGAAATCCCCCCCACTGGAGCGTGAAGAGGCTTGTGTTTGGAGAGGCATATGCTGTGTAAATGTTAGGAGCATGAATAATTTGGAGGGAAGAGTGGGGAGTTTTATTCAGCAAAGATTTTTCAAGTAAAAAATAAATAAATGCGTTTTTTTTTGTTTTTTTTACTTTCCACTCTTAAAGGATTCTGAAATAAAATATTTCCAGCTCTGTTGTTGTTGTTTTTTTTTTTTACAGATTTAAGACTGAAAAGATTTGCCACAACAGGAATGCATTTTATATAATAAAAGCAGCCTTGGTGAGCATTAAAACCTTTAAGAGAAAAAAAAAACTTACTCGTAGTTCAAAATAAGGCTCTTTCAGTAAGCATATTTCAAGTCTGAATTGTTAAGAAAAGGAAGGTTTCTTTAATTTGCTTTCTGCATAAGGAATATCTTTCAAAAAAAATTTTACACAAAGAAATTATCCACATAAATAATTCATTTGATTCACTGTGAGGCATTTTACCCATGCACCATTCCCATTTATGTCAAACCATGAGTTACAACAGCTTCCTGTTTCATGGTATTAAAGGGTTCACCCAAAAATGAAAATTACCCTGTTTTACTCACCCTCAAAGCATCCTAGGTGTATGTGACTTTCTTCTTTCAGACGAATCCAATCGGAGTTATATTAAAAATTGTCCTGGCCCCTCCAAGCCTTTCAATGGGGGTAAGCGGGTGTTGGTTGTCAACAGCTCAGAAGACGTGGAATAAGGTGCGCGCATCCGTAATAAAACGTCCCTCACACGCATACGTCCTACGTCATCCGCCTGAATGTCTTTCGCGTACCACAGTCAGCGGAAGTGAGAAAAAAGTGTTTATTACGTTTGAAATATGGATATTTATCTTACAAAAATGCATGGATTTGCTACAGGAGGCCTTTATTCACCCCCTGGAGCTGTGTGAGGGACGTTTTATTACAGATTTGCGCACTTTATTTCATGTCTTCTGAACTGTTGACAACCAACACCCGCTTACCCCCATTGAAAGGCTTGGAGGGGCCCGGGCAATTTCTAATATAACTCCGTCTGGATTTGTCTGAAAGAAAGTCACATACACCTAGGATGCTTTGAGGGTGAGTAAAACACAGGCTAAATTTCATTTTTGGGTGAACTAACCCTTTAATAGCATGCTTTAGCACTTAGAAAGTGTTGCGAGGATGTTTGAGCATATTTCTATTATGTTTAGCACACAATGGCATATTTTACTGTGTTGCTAATAGTGCATCA